AAGCAATACAATAATTAAGAAAAGATAATGTTTATTATTATTATTATTATTATTATTATTATTATTATTATTATTATTACTTAGTAACAACAATAAAATTACATTTGGCAACACTCTCGTACATCGGCAAAAGTACCAAATGACAATATAATAAAAGCACAGGAATAAAAGCTAAATAAATAAAAAATATAAAAACACTTTTAAAATCCTGTATAAAACCACATTATTATGTTATACAATAAATAATTATATCTAGATGATAGCATTATTATACCTATGACTATGATAGCAACAATGCAAGCCATAAGCAATAAGTATGCAAGCCAGACCTAATTATTGCACTTTCCATAATCCATGATACCTCCCTCCATGGAACAAAACCAAGTTATTACACTCATATGTTAAGGGTGGAAACCGATGGTGTAAGAGATATCACGGCTTGAGGATAGAAGCTATTTTTGAATCTATTAGTTCTGGATTTGATCAATTTTTTACCTTTTCCCAAAGGGCAATAGGGTAAACAGCCCTTATCTAGGATAAGTATTGTCCAAAGAAATGTATCTGGCCTTTTTTTGGAGACGATCTGTATAAATATCAAAACCAGCACCCCCCCACCCTCCCCCCCTCGTACCCAGCAGCTGCTCCCTCGACAATCACCAGCCTTCCCTGCAGCCCCCCAGCTCTAATGATCTGTGAAAAGGATGTGTGTGGCCTCTAAAAAACAAAGGATCAGAAAGGCTCCAGGCCCAGATGGTGTGACCACCCCTCCTGCTTGAAAGTGTGTGCTGATCAGCTGACCCTCATCTTCACACTTATCTTCAACAGGTCACTGGTGCTGTGTGACGTCCACTCCTGCTTCAAATGCTCCACCATCATTCCAGTCCCCAAAAAACCCTCAATCAATAGACTGAATGACTACAGGCCTGTCACCCAAACATCTGTAGTTATGAAGTCCTTTGAAAGACTGGTGTTGGCCCACCTGAAGGGCATTGTAGACCCCCTGCTAGACCCCCTGCATTTTGCCTACCGAGCAAACAGGTCAGTGGATGATGCAGTGAACATGACACTGCATTACATCCTGCAACACCTCGACTCCCCAGGGACCTATGCACAGGCTCTTTTTGTAGACTTCAGCTCAGCATTCAACACCATCATCCCGGACATCCTCCACTCCAAACTGACCCAGCTCACTGTGCCTGACCCCACCTGTCAGTGGATTACTAGCTTTCTGACAGACAGGAAGCAGCAGGTGATTCTGGGGAAAACCACATCCAGTACCCAGACAATAAGCACAGGCGCCCCCCAGGGATGTGTGCTGTCCCCTCTGCTGTTTTCACTCTACACCAATGACTGCATCTCAAAGGACCTCTCTGTCAAGATTCTAAAGTTTGCTGATGATACAACGGTCACTGGTCTCATCCAAGATGGTGATGAGTCAGCCTACAGACAGGTCCTGTGGTGTAGCCGCAACAACCTGGAGCTGAACACGCTCAAAACAGTGGAGATGACAGTGGACTTCAGGATATGCCCCCCCCACCTTACCCCCACTCACCATACTTGGCAGCACTGTATCAGCAGTAAAGTTCTACAAGTTCCTGGACCCCCTGCCTCTCCTCCGTTTTGTCTTTGTTTTCTCTGTCATATGGGCTCTGCACCTCAGCTGTGTAGCATTCCAGTGATTGGTAGCTGGGTTGTCTACGCACACAGCTGGGGTGCATCCTGATGATTACCTTCGCCATATATAAACCTCTGGCAGACGCTCCGGGCTCGCCGGAACATTATCGAACATAATCTAACTAAC